CCAAGAGGGCCTCCAGGACTTCCACTCGGTGTGGCGATCCTCAGGCTACCACTGCCAAGCGGGGTGTCCGGTTGAAGCCCCCCCTCCGCCCCCCCATCCCTCCTCCTCCTCCTCCTCCTCCTCCTCCTCCTCCTCCTCATCTTCCTCCTCCTCCTCCTCCCCTCCTCCTCCTCATCCTCCTCATCTTCCTCCTCCTCCTCCTCATCATCCTCCTCCTCTCTCTCCTCCTCCTCCTCCTCCTCCCCCTCCTCCCCCTCCTGCTCTTCTTTCTCTTTCTCCCAAGTCCCTAACTCCATGCCCCCTGCCTCTCCTGCCCTGTTCCCCAAATTACTACAATGCCCTTCCCGCTCTGCCTACTACTGCCGCTCCCTGCCTGCTAATCCTGTCATCCATCCTGCTCCGCTCTTGCTTTTCCAGTCTCCCCCCCTGCGCTCATGAAGCGGCAACCACGCCCAAGCTGAGGGGGGCGAATCGGCACCGCCACCGCTACTCCCTGAACCTCTCCAGGGGTACGTTCGGACCAGGATTTCGAGGAGAAGTCAGCCTTGGCAGCGAAAGATCTCTAGGACGAGCAGCGGCATCAGTAGCCTTCCCTCCACGGACAAGCCTGCTCCAGGCCCTCGATCACGACAAGGGAGCGCGAGTCCACGGAGTCCGTGCAGGGCCCGCCCGACCTGCTCGCGTGCGCCGCAGACGACAAGCCTGCCCGCGAGCGGTGCTCGGCGAGGTGCCGCTCTCCGAGCCACGCGGCTCCTCTGGCCCGCTTGCCTCTTCCGTGGAAATGCGGCACCGCCCGCACACTGCCTCGGAACCGCTGCGCCACGGTGCTCCCCACTGCGAGAAGAACGACAGAGCTGCACACGCACACACACACACACAATTTCTCGGAGCTCCGCGCGGGCATCTTGGGTCTGGCGCCTCCGGCGGCGACCCGGCACGGTCCGCGTGCCAGGGAGGGAAGGGGGTTCCAGCGCCGATCGAAGGAAGCCGCGCGGAGCTCCGAAAGTTCATGTCTGTGCAAGTGATTATTCTTCCGCCCACTGCGCGACGATGCTACTGGCCACTGTGGAGCACAGGCTGGGCAGGAGGTCCACCGGCAAGACCAAGGCTTCCAGGCGCAAGGGGGGTCGCGACAGAAGGGCGCAGAAGGCGCAGACGGGGGACGGGGAGGGCAGCATGGCGGGAGGACGTGAGGAAGGGACAGGCGCAGAGGGAGGGAGCGCCAGCCAGGAGGGCGTGAGCGAAGACGGAAGCCGACGGGGACGAGGGGGATCGGCGGCGAAACGGGAGCGAGCTGCGAGTGCACGGAGCCCCGAGCAGGAGGTCCAGCTCGACGGCGGGCGCCGGGCCCTCACGCCGTCGCGGGAGGCCGAGGGGCTCCCCGTCGCTCGGACGTCCATTCCCTGTGTCTTTGTCCGGTGTCGTGCGTGTTTCTTTTCGCAGGATGACCCAGAGGATGCTCCTTCATAACGCCCGCCGAGAGAAAGAGTGCACGCGTCCCAGCGAGACCAGGGGCGAGAAAGGGGCCACCTGAGCAGAGGGGAGGAGCCAGGGCGGCAGCAGCCAGGGAGGGGGGGCGGCGACGGAGCTCAAGCTAGGGCTCCCAACTTCGCGCTTCGCGCTCCGCGAAGCGCGAAGCGCGAATAACTTCGCGCTCTCGCGCCGCCCTCCCAAAGGGAGAATAGGAGGACGAGGAGGAGGGGGAGGAGGAACGAGGACCGCGAAGCGCGAAGCGCGAATAACTTCGCGCCCTCGTGGGAGCCCTTGCTGATGACCCCACCCCACCTCTTCCCCTGCCCTCCACTGGGGTGCAGCGCTGGGGTGCAGCGCAAGGCTGGACCTGAACAGTGCCTGTCGTTCTCGTTGTGTTTTCGCTCTCCATCGCTCTCGTCTCGAGCCCGCCTTTGCCGCAAAACGAGGTCGAAACGAAAAGGGCCCACGGAATCGCCAAAAGCACCGTTCAGGTCCAGCCCTGGTGCAACGATAAGAGGGGACCAGCCCAGGGAGGACACATCAACATGGAATCGGCGATACTTTGCCGACAGGCCCCCGATCGCGGATCCGCATGTTCCCGGGCGGGTTGGGCCAGTGGGCCCACGTCGAATGGGCGATTGAGGGTCGATGCATCCCCCTCTGAGCCTGTCCCCCCCTGACGTCGCCCCCGATCCACTCGGGCCCGCGCTGACGTGGAGATGGGGATCCGCGGATCTGGCGCGCGGGCGCCAGAAGCATGGATCGGGCAAGCCACCCCCGAGGCAGGGAAGCCAATGCCGCCTGACTTGGCGACGGACCGCATCGATTTGGCATCCACGGGCGACGAGCCGCGTCGACTTGGCATCCACGCGCTTCACTTCGTGCTTGCGTTTCCCGGATCCTCGCTCCCTGGCTCTGCCTATGCTCTTCCTCCTGCGCAAGTCCCTCCCCCTGCCCCGCGCCCCGAACCCCTTGCCCTGCCCCACGCCTCGGCCTCCCTTGTGGGTGCATGCTTCGCTCGGTCTTGTCGCCCTCGCCATCCGACGGCGAGCGAGGGGGGGCAGTAAGAAGGGGAAGGCCCTCTCAGAAGGCGGCAAGGCTTCTCAGAAGCCCCCAGCCTTCTGAGAAGATTCCCGTGCTTCCTGTGTCTCATGCTCAGAAGGCTGGGGGCCCTCCGAGCCTTCTGTGAAGGCCCGCCCCATCAGGCGGAGCCAGGACGAGGATAACGGCGGGTGAGGATGAATCGAGAATCTCTGACATGTGGCGGCCCTGGAGGACGTCTCTCGGGCGCCGCGGCCATCTCAGAGCACCCCAGAGAGCTTGCTCTGGAGCGGATGCGTATATCCTCGTTCTCGCCCCGTCCGACCCCCTCTCACGTTCCCCCCGGGGCTGGCCGCCGAACCACATGCCGAAGGAGGAGGAGGAGGAGGAGGAGGAGGAGGAGGAGGAGGAGAGGAGGAGGAGGAGGAGGAGGAAAAGAGGAGAGAAAAGGAGAAGGAAAAAAGAAGGAAAATGAGGAAAAGGGGGAGGAGGAAGAGGAGGAGGGAGGAGGGGAGGAGGAGGAGGAGAGGAGGGGAGGAGGGAGGGGGAGAGGGAGGAGGAGGAGGAGGAGGAAGGAGAGGAGGAGGAGGAGGAGGAGGAGGAGAAGGAGGAGGAGGAGGACCCGGTCGCCTCTGCGGGGTCCCGCTCGTGCCTCCCCGTCCGCCGCGGCCCCCCATGGGCACGGGGCCGCGGGCCCCCCTGGGGCGCGGGAGCTGCGCCCGGGCCCCATGGGGCGGTCCCCCCCCCCCCCGCGGGCCAGAGCTTCGGCCTGCGTGGTTCTGGGACGGTGCCGTAGCCACCAGACCGAGAACGGCGGAGGCTGGACCTGGTCTTTGTGTTTGGTGCTGTTTTTCGTCCTGCTGTCCGTTTTGCTCGGCCTCTTCTCCCGTGCCTCCCTCCCAACACGCAACACGGAACACGGCCGAGGTCCAGCAAAACAGCGTTCCGGTCCAGCCCTGAAGCGTGATGAGGATGCAAAGGCCAAGGACGGCCATGCCGACACTCTGCGGGCGGGGCGCGGCCAGCGAGAGCGGCCAAGGATGGGCCGAATGGGGAGGGATGCAAGGGCACACTAACCTTGGAAAGTCGCTCATCCTTACTGTGTGGCTGACTGTAGACCCGGTTCCTCCAAGGCCCGTCTCCTTCGTGCCGTCCCTGCCTCCCCGTCTGCTGTGTCCTCTCCCAGGGCGGGGGGCGATTCCGACTTGACGCAAGAAGTACCCGTCGACGTACACTGCGCCTCCGCCCGCGTCGGACAGGGACACGCTCGGCCGCACAGCCCTCTGGAATCCCGAGACAGCATCACCAGTGGCACGCACTGTCAACACTGGTGCTCCCCGTCGCTCGGACGTCCATTCCCTGTCTTTTTGTTCGGTTTCCTTTTTGTTCGGTTTCGTGCGTGTTTTTTTCGCAGGCTGATCCAGGATGCTCCTCAATAATCCCCGCCGAGAAACAGTGCACACGTCCGAGCGATACCCAGGGTGCATCAGTTGTGTAGGACAGAAGTGAATCATCAACGAAACTGGAGCTCTCATGCTCTCCTTCTCCTTTTCCTCAACCTCGTCTTCCGCCTGCCAACGCCTGCCGTGGGCCCCTTCCCATTCCGCTCCCGACACCTGTTATCGAGCCTGCAGGACGATGGCCACCGACGGCCACCAGGCCTGCGGGATGTCCGAACACGCACCACTCGTACACTGCCTGGCTACGCGCGCCCAAGGGATTGCGGGCAGTGTCAGGCCTGAGCCACATCGAATGGCGAAGTTGGATCGGAGCGGGAACGGGTCGAATCGATGAGGAATCGGTCCCAAAATAATCCAAATCGGGTTGCTGCGCCCAGCTCCGGCTGAATCGGACCCAATCAAGCCGAATCAAAATCAATCGCGGGCTCTGTCTGCACATCGAATCGCATCGAATCGAATCGCATCGATCGCATCCCCCTGAATCGTCCGCCACTCGCTGAGGCGTAGTACACAATGCCAGGTGCTGCCTGGTATGGCCTCTGCAATTCTCCCAAGGGCCCCCCTGTCAGCACACAGTGCCGCACACGTCCTCTGAGGGGAACAGATAACTACAGGGGGGGATTGCCTCAGGCGAAAACCAACCAGCTCTGCGGTACATCGCCGATAGCTTGACGACAGGCCCCCCATGGCGAAACCTCACGTTCCTGGCGCGAGATCGGGCCACTGTTGGTGATGAACGGCCGATTGGGGATCGATGCGTTCACCCCCGAGCCGAGCCCCCCTCTAGCGCTGCCCCTGACGGCGGCGCCCCGGGCGAAGCCCCTGGCGCGCCCCGTGCGCCAGGGAGGCGACGATCCAATGAGTCCGCGCGGGGGGCCCCGGAGGCTCGTGCTTCCGAGAATGCCCGCCTGCTCGTCGGGGAGCAGAGAGGCACCCACGTCGGGGAGGTTGGGAATCCACACCCCTCCCACGAGCGAAGGGGAATACGAAGACGACCGCCTGGCGGGACCATCAGGCGGCCTCCCTCCCTCCTCTCCACCTCCTCCCTCCCCTCCCTCTCTCCACCCTCCTCTCCCCCTCTTCCCGCTTCCCTTGGCCAAGTCTCCCTGCATTTTCCCCCGGGGCCGTAGGCGACCCGAGGAGAAGGAGGAGGAGGAGGAGGACGACGAGGAGGAGGAGGAGGAGGAGGAGGAGCAGGAGGAGGAGGAGGAGGAGGAGGACGGGTCGCCGAAGCCCTTCGGAGAAACCCTTCACCTCTCCCCTTCCATCCTCCCTTCTGCACCCTCTTCTGCTTGTCTTCCTCTCCCCCAGACGCGGCCCGACGCGCTCCTGAGAGCCGTCCCGCCGTTCCAGGGGAGGGGGGCGCCTGCTCCATCAGCTCCCGCCGGCACTGCTGGCTGGGGTTCACGAAGCACTGGCGGCCGTCGCGCCCTCTACGGCCAGGAACTAGGCCCTCCTCCTCATCCTCCTCCTCGTCTTCCTCCTCGTCTCCGCCGGCATTCCATCACGCCTCCTACTACTGCATGCTCCGGGCCCTGCTCTGGCTCCTGTCCTCCTCCTCCTCCCTCCTCCCTCCTCCCCTCCCTCTCCTCCTCCGCCTCATCCGCGCTCCTCTCCCTCCTCCTCCTCCCCCCCGCCCCTCATCCTCTCACTCTCCTCCGCCTCCGCCGCAGACCGAAATACCTCCTCCTCCTACCCTCCTCCTCATCGTCCAAGCCCCCTCCTCCTCTCCTCCCGCCTCCTACTCTCCTCCTCATACCGTCCTCCTCCTCCTCCTCCTCCTCCTCCTGCCTCATCCTCCTCTCGCCTCCTACACTCATCCCCCTCCTCCTCCTCCTCCTCCCTCATCCTCCCCCCCTCCTCCTCCTCCCCCCTCCTCCTCCTCCTCCTCCTCCCTCCTTTCCTCCTCGTTGCTGCTCTCCTCCTGCTCTCCCCTCCTCCTCCTCCGCCTCCTCCTCTCCTGCTCCTGCTCTGATTCAGGCTCCCCTTTCGGGTCTTCTTAAGTTTTGCGTCGAAAGCCTTCCGTTCAGCCAACCATTGCTCATGCTCCCTCCTCCTCCTCCGCTCCTCCTCCTCTCCTCCTCCTCCTCCTCCTTCCTCCTCCTCCTCCTCCTCCTCCTCCTCCTCCTCTACGTCGCTTAGGTCAGCGTTTTCTTGTTCGGCGTTTCGACATTTGGCGGAAGAGGGTAGGGGGAAGGGGGGGATCTGGTTCCGCACCTCTGCTTGGTACGGCTGCTTGCAGCAGTGCGTCCGATGGGGGACCTCTGCTTGGTACGGCTGCTTGCAGCAGTGCGTCCGATGGGGGAGGGGCGCCGCCTGCTCGAAACAAACAGGCGCCAAAAACAGCCAAGATCCACTCCAGTGGAGGTGGGGAGCGGGGGCGCGGGCCCGCGCCGATCGGCAACACAGTGAATAAGACAACGATCACCAGCGTGTCGCGGCGGCGGCCCCTGCGACACGACGTGCCCCCTGCAAGCGGACAGCCCGCCGCTGCGCTGCGCGGGGTGAGGGCGGGGAAAAGCTCGGGACACCGGCGCCCCGTGGCTGGGACGTGGCTGGCGTGCCGCGCCTAAGCGTGGCGGGGGGGCAGGCCGGGGGCGCGGCACGCTGAGCAAGCGGCCACAGGAGAGCTCCAAACAATACACCACCACCAGCCCTGGCGAGGCCCTCCCTGGGCCCTGGACTGGTGTACAGGCCCTCCAGGCCTGGGCCAGGAGGGTGTATACACCAGTCCAGGGCCCAAGGCGGACCTGGCCAGAGCTGGTGGTGGTGTATTGTTGGCGTCCCTCCGAAACCGTACCTCTCCGTCTGTCTCATTCGGCACCCCCTGCTTACAACGGGCTGCACGAGTCAGCGTCATGCTGCTCTCGTCGTTGTCGTCGTCGACCGAGGGTCGAAGCTTCAGGGAAATTGGGGGGGCGCGTGTTCGCGCCCCAGCGGGCTCTGAGGGGTGGTAGGGTGATGAGGAGGCAAAATGACTCGAGCTGCAATGCTTGTGCGGGGGGGGTAGACCGGCCAAGCCGCTTGCCCCTCCTCCGTCAAATCCCCCTCGTCCTCGACATACTCAAATCAATGTGAGATGTAACTCGGGAAAGCCGGAACTACCGCAAAACTACCAGCATATTTCCAACAGTCCGCTCGTGCGCAAAATCTTCTCGAGAATTTTCTATAATCGACTGGAGACCACTTTGGATGCGAGGCAGACGCTCGATCAAGCCAGATTCCTAAGCAAATCTAACACAAATTACCATTTATTGACCATCGTTGTCCTCCCAGAGAAGGCGAAAGAATTTCAACTTCCAATGGGTGGCTACGCTTGATTTCAAGAAAGCAATTGATACGATCTCTCATGAATCACTGTGGGGAGCCATGCGGCCATCAGCCTCATCGCGTGCTTGTGCGCAGACCAGACCGCATGTGCCAAAACGGACGCATGCAGCAAATCTTTACAACCGACCGTGGGACCAAGCAAAGCGACCCAGATGAGTGCTAAGATCTCCGGTAACTGGTTAACAATGTTCTAGCTCGCGCGCGCGGAGCGGCTCATGGAGGCTCCCGGACGACAAGTACCCCGACAAGGTCCCGGCAAGGTCGGCTCAGAGATGGTGTTCCTCCTCGGCGCTGCCTTCCAGGCCTCCTAGAGCGCTTCAGGAACGCGCCACCAAGGATCCGCGACGCCCCGAGACGGTCCCAGGGGCCCCGAGTCGCCGAAAGATTGCTCCAAGACGCCCATGATGGTCTCCAGACGGCCCTAGACGCCGCCGAGAATCTCCAAGAGAGCCTCAAGAGGCCCTCCAAGAGGGCCACAACAAGCAAAAATCGTTGGAAAACGTGCACTTCTGGCACAGATGACGTTCGGAGGTTCACAGCGTCCAAGACTGCCCAAGAGCCCCCCAAGATCGCCCCAAGATGGCCCAACATGCCCCTAAGATCCGCTCAAGAGGGCCCAAGAGGGCTCCAAGACGGCCCAAGACGCCCCCAGAGAGGGAACTCGAAATGACATGTGAAGCTTTCCGACCCCAGGGGCTCCTCCGAGACCGCCAGCAGGCTCCAAAGAAGCACCCAGAAGTCCCAAGAAGCCCCCGAGAGGCCCAGAAACAGGCCCCAGGGCACCCGAACGGCCCTGACGAGGCCTCACGAAACTTCTAAACTGCCTCCAAAAGGCTTCCGCGACACCTGCCAGGAGACCCCAACACCGCCCCATCAAATGTCGCCTGCGCCCCATCGACAAGCCCCAGAGTGAGCATCCACGACCAGCAAACCCCCACGAAGGCACCCGAAGTCCAACAAAGCACCATACAACTATCGGCCCCGTGAAAATCGACCCATTCTTCTGACAACTCCCATGAAATCCAGATGAATCGCCCCAGCATCATGCCCCACGCAACGCCTCAGAAAACAGCCGACGCCCCTGCAGCTCAACACCGCCAACGACCACTCGGCCAGTCGACGCAGCAATGCCCATGGACCGGCAGATTGAGCAAAGCGATTGAATATCTACAATCGACCGTGGGACCAAGCAAGGCGACCCATTAATCTCACTATTACTCAACTGCCTGTCTGAATTCGCATCCAGCAAAAACTGGTCGAGGTGGGCCAGCAGGCAGAACGGTGTGAAATTGGGGATGCGCAAATCCGACTGGCTCACCCATCTGCGGTTTGCGGATGACGTGCCTCTGATAGCGAGTTCACTCAGGCAGGTGAAACTTAGGATAGGCGATGTCGTGGATGCTGCACTGCTAGCTCGCCCAGGGAAAACTAATATATCACAAAAAGTAGAAACTATGCGACCACGCGGCCAGCCCGAGCACACGATCGTGAAAGGGAGCAGCATGTAGGTCTTACCGTTCGCTGGCGTGCAGAAGTCCTTGGCGCGCCACGTGACCTCCTGCAGCCCTGCCGCAACAGAGGTCGAAGCCAGAATCAAGGCTGCCTGGGAAACAATCGGCCTCTTTCAGCAGGAACTGACTGCGCGCTCGCATTCGCTCAAGGACCGCCTGCGACTATTCCATGGCACCGCTTCTCCAACGATTCCATATGGTGCGGGGCCTTGGACATGGACGGCTCCGCTGGAGTCACGGCTGCGGCCCACGCGGCGCTGCATGCTCAGATTGATCCTTGGTTCTCCCCGGCGCCGGACCCAATTCTTCTTCTTCTTCTTCGTCTTCTTCGTCTTATTCTTCTTCTTTTTCATTTCAACCCGTGTCCTTGGCCCAAAGCAGGGCCTGGCCCAAGGAGCCTGAGAGGGAACGAGGTGAGCTCCCCCACGGGCCCAACGCCGGGCCCAAGATGCTCGCGCATACCTGGGGGCAGAGCGCAAGTCCACGTCGCAGCCGCTGTCTCGATCCATGCCCTCAGCGGCAATGGTGCAACCACCGCGAGCACCTCTTCTGGCCACGGCGACACCGACGCGGACGACGCAGACACCACCACGTCATCGAGCTCGAGTTCCCCTGTCAACGATTTGGAAGCATGGCACGACTGGATCCGACGCACGACCAGACACATAGAAAAATATTGTGCCGAACTTGGGTACGAAGACTGGTGTGCACGGCAGAGGCGGTTACGATGGAGGTATCGTGCTATGGCGATGCATGACGACACGGGAAAGTGGAGCCGCAAGGCTATCATGTGGAACCCACCACCTACACACGTGAATGCAAAGCCACTTCAGCACCGACCGTGCAGACGGTGGACCGAAGATGTGGCTGCATTTGTACGTGGTTTTTGCGCGCAAGAGTGGTGATTCATTGTGATGGACATTCAAGTCTTGCAAGGTATGGAGGATCTGCACGTGTTCCACACAGGACGGACGACTCATAGAATCAGATTCCGGCGTTGCGTCACCGCCTAGCCCCGCGTAGGGCCGTCCCCCTGGGACGCTATAGGCGCAGCCTCAGCCTCAGCCTCAGCCTCAGCCCCTCCTCTTCGTCCTCCTGCCACTTCTCCCCCTCCTCCTACCATCTCCCTCCTTCTGCACTTCTGCTCCTCTTCTCATCTTCCTCCTCCTCTTCCTCCCCCTCTCCTCCCTTTCATTACTCCCATTCTCCGTGCTTCTCCACGTCCGACTCTTCCGATTCTCCTCCCTAGTCAACAATGGAAGAGAGAGGGGCAGAAGAGCATGAGGGATGACGCCTATGAATTTCGAATATGACAACCCATCGCATTCCTGCGCATCGATTAATTCTCTGACACGCCCCTTGACAACAATAACATTACCTGCCCTCGACTTTCTCACGTACGTTCCTTTCTGAATCTCGCAACGCGACCACCGCAAACCTTCCCTCGCCGCTCTGGGTACTGCAACAAATACCCTATCATAAGTGCGTCTCCGCTGTTCTGCGTACCACTACCAAGCACGATCCGCATTCACATATGCAAATCAAAACATGGAACGAAGGGACACCCACTGAGTAGCGTTGCCGGTGTTCCTTCGGGGGGGGAGGGTGTGTATACGCTACATATTCATACGGTGCGACCGCATGCAACTGCCTCTGCATAATGCCCACACACACACTATGCACTCCATGCACATCTCGACTCGGCTCGATGAATGTCAACCGCCTTTTTTGGACGACCGTGCCAAACATCTGCCAGCGCAGACTCCAAATATATCAGACGACTGAGGTGGACTGGAATGGACTGAAGTAGACTGCACTGGAGAGGACTGGACTGAGGTGGACTCGACTTCGCTCTACTCTACCATCCGCACGACTCTACTCTACTCAACTCTGCCCTCACCTATCCATGCTCCTTCTCGGTATGTCCTCCAACGCTGCCGCCCAGACGGCCGACAGCCGCCAAATCGGGGTGGCCCCGTCCTACTTGCCAGCAGAGAATACGAACTCTATGCTTGCCGCCCCACCATGGACACGCTGTCGCGGCAAGGATGGGACGGGGCGCGCATCCTGTGCGAGAGGCCGAAACGTCGCTCTCGCCTCGGCGCCGCGCTCACTCCTCTGGAGAGTTGCGCTCCCGCTCGGGCGCGGCGCGCGCCTCTCGCACGCGTGTGCGTCGACGCGCGAGCGGGCGAAGCGGCCGCTCTCGCCCCCGCGCCGCGCACCTTCCGCCTGCACTGGGCGCTCCCGCCTCGACGCGGCGCAGATTTACCACTCGCCATTTTTTTTTGGGGGGGGGGGCGCGCAGGGGCCGAGGCGTTGCCCTCGCCCAGGTTTCGCGCGCATCTGGGTCCGAAGTGTTCTTTCAGCGCGGGCGCGGCGAATGGTTCGTTCGCCGAAGCGCATGGAGGCGACAGCGGCAGCGGGGCCGCGCGAGAGCGTGCGAAATGCCGACCTCGTCCAAGCGCCGCGCAGCTTGCGAATGAAAATGGCAATGTTGTGTCTGCGAAACACATGCTTCGTCTTCGCCGCGCCCGTCGGAAAAAGTGCTGCTCCCGTCCTTCCGCGACTCGCGTAATGTTCTCTTCGCCAAGTCGTCGGAAAAAAAAAAATATGCAAAAAAAAACAAAAAAAAAAAAAAAAAAAAAAAAAAAAAATAAAAAAATAAAAAAAAGAAAAAAAAAAAAAAAAAAAAAAAAAAAAATAAAAAAAAAAAAAAAAAAAAAAAAAAAAAACAAAAAAAAAAAAAAATAAAAAAAAAAAAAAAAAAAAAAAAAAAAAAAAAATAAAAAAAAAAAACAAAAAATAAGAAAAAAAAAGAAAAAAAATAAAAAAAAAAAAAAAAAAAAAAAAAAAAAAAAAAAAAAAAAAAAAAAAAAAAAAAATAAAAAAAAAAAAAAAAAAAAAAATAAAAAAAAAAAAAAAAAAAAAAAAAAAAAAAAAAAAAAAAAAAAAAAAAAAAAAATAAAAAAGAACAAAAAAAAAAAAAAAAAAAAAAAAAAAAAAAAAAAAAAACGAAGCGGGACCGCGCGCGAGCGCCTTCCGCTGGCGAGGTGGGAGCGGGTCAAATCCCAATGCCAAGTTGTGCCGCAATTGATTGGTTTGTTGAGGGAAGGATGGGGGCCCTCTGACGCCTTCGACCTGGCTAACTTGACTCTACTCTACTCCACCCTATCGCACACTAAGCTAGGACATACGCTACTCCACTCCTACGCTACTCTTCTCTACTCTACTCTGCTCTACCCCAGATCTATTCAGCTCTAGTATACTCTCCTCTGTTCTAAATCGACCATACTCTTCCCTCACAGTGTCGGCTCAACTCGTTTCTACCCGAGTCGGCCCCAGTCTAGTATACCCGACTCTACTCAACCATGTACCAGCTTCCCCACTCGAACTGAGTCAGATCGATCCTACCCTACTCGATTCGAACCTGCTCTATAGTATACCTGCCCTGTCATAACGTTATCTACTCTACTTTGATCATACCCATTATGGTGTACTCTCTTACCATCTGCTCTACTCCAATCTAAATCGAGTCTGCACTGCTCTGCTCATAGCATTATATACACCCTGACACAGTCTGCTCCGATATACTCTTTCACCTACTCTGATAGACCCTACTCTACTATACCAGCGGCCCTACTCGTCTCGACTCTGATCAAATCGACCCGACCGTGGTCAACCCTACCCTAACCTATCCTAGTTCACTCTACTCGTTTCATGATCGGTTTTACTCAATTCTACCCTGTTCGTGTCTAGGTCTACGCAACTCGTGTTCGTTCCTGATCGGCTTTACTCTACTCATCTGCTCGTGTCTACGCAACTCGTTCTGCCCTGCTATACGATACGCTACACGAGTGTACCCGGCTCTACTCTATCACCATGTGACCCCAGTCTACTCGGCTCTGTTCTGCTCGACCCGGCCCTGTTCTACCTCATCCCACTCTACTCGAATCGTCCCTGTTCTACGGTACACGGTTCTATATATATATATATATATGTGTGTGTGTGCGTACACACACCCTCCTCTACTCCTACTTTCTGCATATCGACTCCTACTCTAGTCTACTCGTAGCTGCTCTACTCTACTCGAGAATGCTCCATACTCTACTCCTACTCTACTCCAAGCTGCTCTGCTCTAATATACCCTACTTTACTCTATTACACCCTCGTCTCATCTCATCAGCTTAACGCTACTCTCCACCCTGCTCTGCGCTGCTCTACTCTACTCCACTCTCCTCTGGTTCAGAGTTTAACGAGTGTTGGACGATTGCTGGGGCGCATTGAATTAGCCACTGAAAAACGCTTGGGGAAAAAACATAAGACGCCATGCGGATACAGAGGAACCATGCGGTTAGCAGAGGAAACCATGCGGATACCGAGGAAGCCATGCAGATTGCAGAGGAAGCCATGCGGATAGCTCGACGATCGCACAAGCAAACTAAAGCGGTGGGTAACACTAGGCCAACTCTCTATGCATTGAGCGGCGGGCGCCGATGCATCTAGATCAGAGTGTGACCGATCGCACAGTACGCACGATCAGGGACCTGCGGCCCTGTCCGTATACATCAAAATCTATTTCGAGGTCGTGTCCGACTCACTGGATGGGCAGAACAGGCGATCCTGTAAACGAGCAGAATCCAAGGGCAGTCTTCGAATGGTGTGGAGGAGCGGCAGACACACGAGAGAATCCAGCTAATGTGCGCAACGGTCCCGTGCCAAGCGTTGCAGTACTCGCCCATCGTGTCCTGGGAGGTTGCAACAGTCTCGGCCGCAAACGATCGCATCATCACCATTGAATGCACTTGGTGGTTGTATCACCATGGAGCAATCGTAATGGTCTGCCAGCAATTGCGCGTAGGGCTGCATGTCATCTGGAAGCTACGAAACAGCAGGCCGCTCGTACATCAACATGGGGCACCCTCCCTGACGTGCATGTGCCTAGCAGGCCCGAAGGCACTTTTGCAAAACAAGTGAAGACAGCGCGCGGCCCATCTCGACCCGACAGCATTGAAGGAACAAGGTGAGGGGGAAAGGAGGGGAAGAGAGGGAAGGGATTAAAGGTATATTGAAAAAGGTGGCGCGTTTCACGGGCGCTTTCTTTCAAGGTAGATTTTAGCACAGTTCGAAAGGTGTCCGGTCTTACTCTGATATTGGAAAATTATACATGTGAATCTTCCCAAGTGACTCCCCTCCCCCCCAACCGCCCCCCCCTCCCCGAACCCCCCCCCCCCTGCGCCGGCGCCGGCGGCCGCCAGCAGAGCGCCGACGGCGGGGACGCAGCGGCGACGACCAGAGGCAGCCGAGGGAGTTTAACCCCCCCCCCCTTGGGGCCGAGGGGGGGGGGTTCAACCCCCCCCCCTTGGCGCCGGCGCTGGCGGCGGCCAGATGCGCCGGCGCTGGCGCCGGCGACGGCGGGGACGCAGTGACGATAACCACCACTACCACCACCACTACTACCACCACCACCACCTCGTCAACCCACCACCACCACCAACCCACCACACAACCGCCACCACCACCACCACAGCCACCACCACCACCACCACCACCACCACCACAACCACAACTCACCATCACCACCACCACCACCACAAAAACCCACCACTACTACCACCATCACCACCACCACAATCTACCACGCCACCACCACCACCGCCACTACCACCACCACTACCAGCAGCACAGCCCACCACCACCACCACAAACCACCACAAACCACCACCACCGCCACCGCCACCGCCACCACCACCACCACCACCACCACCACCACCCTCCACAAACCACCACCACCACCACCACAACCCACCACAACCACCACCACCACCACAAACCAGCACCACACCACCACCAATCCCCACCACCACCACCACCACCACCACAACCCACCACCACCACCACAAACCACCACAAACCACCATTAAGCAGGCACCGACCGTCTTGGCATTCCTGTAGTCCTATCACGAAATGTTCTCGGAACCCAAAAATGTTCGAAAAAACAAAAAAAAGTCCTTAGAACGCAAGCCCGATGTGATACAACAAAACAGGCTGCGCCAAAAATGTTCTATGAACATTTCGTGGAAACCACAAGAAGGTTCTAAGAACATTGTTTGGTGGAGCTATAGGCGAGCCAGGACGCTTCGCCACTACTTGCCACCACCACAACCACCACCACCACCACCACCACCACCACCACCACATCACCACCACCACATCACCACCACCACCACCAACAACAACCACCACCACCACCACCACAACCACCACCACCACAACCACCACCACCGCCACCACCACCACCACAACCCACCACCACCACCAGCACCACCGTCGTCGTCGACGCTCCCCTCCGCCGTCGCCCGCCGCCGCAGGCGCCGGCGCCGGCCCAGAAAAGGAAATCGTCGTCCCTGCCGCCGCCGCCAGCCGCCTGCCGACGCAGGCGCCGGCCCGAGGAGAGAGGAGAGGGAGGGAACCCGCCTTTGACCCCGTCACGGGAAAGGGGGGGGGGAGGTTCGACCCCCCCCTCCATCCAGGGCGGGGGGGGTCCGGTTCCAACCCCCCCCCCATCCAAGCGACCACTGAACGCGCTCTTTCACAGGTGGGGAGAGCGTTTCCATAGATATTGGACGGGACACGGGCGAGGCAACTCCGCTTGATTCAGACTATGAACCTTGAGCCCAGAGCTCTCTCCTCCTCCTCCTCCCTCCTTCCCTCCCTCCCTCCCTCCCTCCCTCCCTCCGTCCCTCCCGCATCCGACCTCCCCCCTTGCTCCTCCGCGCATTCCTCCTTCCTCTCCCCCGCGCCCTCTCCGCTTGCTATTTCAAGGCGCTGGGGACACTTGGGCGCCTCCGAGTTCCAAACCGCCCCTCCGAAAAAAAACAAGCAAAATCGCACCCAGCAGCGCGACGAGAGAGGCGACGAACACGGCATCCTGCACTAACGCGCACGTTCGCTGGAGGGTGAAAGGAAGGAGGACGGCGAGAGAGGAAGCGTGATAGACGCACAGATGGAAAAATTAGCCTGGCGAAGAACCCAACCCCTAATTTTAACGCGGGGCAACTATAAACAGGACCGCTCAATGCACGAAAACACCTTGAAGGGCCTCCAAAATCCCTGGATCATGGCGCCAGAGAATGTCAAACTACTCCCGCCGTCGCCCATTCATGCGCGCACTCTCGCGACTCACATTGGAAGCGAGGACGGCCGCGAAACGCGTGAGAGGCAAGCAGAAATGGCACGAAGGCGCCATGCGGAGCTCCCTCGGGGCCACGAACCGTGTGAGAAGTGTGCCGAAATGGCCGGGGCGGCCGCATGTGGACCCTGCCACTTGGGCCTTCGGTGGAGCTCCCTAAGGGCCACGAACCGTGTGAGGGGTGTGCCGAAATGGTCGGGGCGGCCGCATGTGGACCCTGCCACCGGGGCCTTCGGTGGAGCTCCCTAGGGTCCACGAGCCGTGTGAGGGGTGTGCCGACATGGTCGGGGCGGCCGCATGTGGACCCTGCCACTGCGGCCTTCGGTGGAGCTCCCTAGAAGGCCACGAACCGTGTGAGGGGTGTGCCAAAATGGTCGGGGCGGCTGCATGTGGACCCTGCCACTGGGGCCTTCGGTGGATATCATCTCCCTAAGGGCCACGAACGGTGTGAGGGGTGTGCCGAAATGGCCAGGGCGGCCGCATGCGGACCCTGCCACTGGGGCTTTCGGTGGAGCTCCCTAGGGGCCACGAGCCGTGTGAGGGGTGTGCCGAAATGGTCGGGGCGGCCGCATGTGGACCCTGCCACTGGGGCCTTCGGTGGACTTCCCTAGGGGCCACGAACCGTGTGAGGGGTGTGCCAAAATGGCCGGGGCGGCCGCATGTGGACCCTGCCACTTGGACCTTCGGTGGAGCTCCCTAAGGGCCACGAACCGTGTAAGGGGTGTGCCAAGATGGTCGGGACGGCCGCATGTGGACCCTACCACTGGGGCCTTCGGTGGAGTTCCCTCGGGTCCACGAACCGTGTGAGGGGTGTGCCGACATGGTCGGGGCGGCCGCATGTGGACCCTGCCACTGCGGCCTTCGGTGGAGCTCCCCAGAAGGCCACGAACCGTGTGAGGGGTGTGCCAAAGTGGTCGAGGCGGCTGCATGTGGACCCTCCCACCGGGGCCTTCGGTGGACTTCCCTAGGGGCCACGAACCGTGCGAGGGGTGAGCCGAAATGGTCGGGGCGGCCGCATGTGGACCCTGCCACTGGGGCCTTCGGTGGAGCTCCCTAGAAGGCCACGAACCGTGTGAGGGGTGTGCCAAAAGGTCGAGGCGGCCGCATGTGGACCCTGCCACTGGGGCCTTCGGTGGAGCTCCCTCGGGGCCACGAACCGTGTGAGGGGGGTGCCGAAATGGTGATGAGAATGATGATGGCGACGAGGATGACGAGGAGTATGGAGACGGATGGTGATCATGATGATGATGATGATGACGACGGCGACGATGATGATGATGCCAAAGATGAAGAACGGTTAGGACAATGATGAGGACAATGATGATGATGGTGATGATGGTGACGATGCTGTTGATGATGACGATGATGATGATGATGATGATGATGATGATGCTGATGACGGTGCTGTTGTTGATGATGATGATGATGGTGACGATGATGGTGATGGTGATGGTGATTCTGGCAGGAAAGGCGATGACGACGAGGGTAATGATGACGGTGGTGATGGGAAGTGGGACGGGGGGGGATGGGAACGAAGCGCGAGGGGGAGGAGAAGAGGAGCAGGAGGAAGAGGGGGAGAAGGAAGTATGGAACGCGGCGCTGCGAACTCAAAACGAGGACCCAACACACAGGAGAGTTGGGAAAAAAGGAAGATGGGAGACCCGACGCGCGGCCTGGGCGACGCGAACTCGTCGACCCACTTGAACGCCTTGCGGGTCAGCTGGTGGATCTCGAAGGCCGCCGGGCGCTCGGTCGCCCTCTTGAGGCCTCGGCGCCGTAACTCTAGCGGTCGGTGCCCCCGCGGTGGAGCGGCCCGCCCCTGTCGAACTCCAGCGGGGGCGCCGCCCCGCCAGGATCGCCCCCCCGCGGAACTCGCGGCCGCGCTCGCGCCCCCCCGCTCGAACCAGCAGTCGGCGCGGCGCCCTCGAACGGGCGCTTCGCAATGGCCCGACAGGGCGCCTCGCGGGACTGCTCGCGCCCTCGCCCTCGCGCTCGCCCCGGCTTGGCCGGAGTGGCCGCGGGCTCGGGGGCCGCCCTTGCCGGGCCTCGCCGTCGCGACCCTCCTCTCGAGAGCCTCTTGCTTCTCGAGGGCCTCTTGCTTCTCGCTTCTTGCGCCCCGGCGCCACCCCTCGCGCAGCCCCGCCATGACGGCGGGCGGGGCGCGGGGGCGGCCCTCGACCCCGCGCGCGTCGACGCGCTTGCGCCAGCCCCTAGAGCGATCTGGAGCCTGCGCTAGGCAGGTGCAGGCGGGTCTCGGCGCGGCGCCGGGGCAACCCCTCTGCTCGCGCGCCCCTGCGGCCCGTCCGCTTGCCCTCGGGCCTTCCGCCTGTCATTGGTCGGGCGCCCAACCCGCGGCGCCATTCTGCTCTCGCCGCGCGGCCGCCGCCGCTCGCCGCGCCTTCAAGGGGGTGGGCGAGGATCTGATGTCGGAAGAATCGGACCTAACAGATTCCACGTGCAAAACCTACGCGTTCAGGGGGGCGTTCAAATCTCGGCGCAGCGGCGCTCGCGTCGGAGGTTCGCCGGCGATTGAAGACGCCCGGGGCCGGGGAAACCGCCGCGGGGCTGGGTGGGGATAAGGGGCGCTTCTATCGGGACTATAATGGCTCAGACTACCAGGGCCGCCCGTCGGAAAGCTCGCGGGTGGCTCCATGGCGCCCTCTGTCACCGAGACCGCCGCCCCCTCGGCCGCTTGCTCGCTGCTCAGCTCGGCCGCGCGCTTGCGCGGTCGCTCGCGGCCTCGTCGCCGCTCGGGAAGTTGCGCTGAGCTCGGTGAAGGGTTCGAGGAAGAACTCGACGGCGTCGGCGCGCACCCCCATCGGCCTCCACGTCGAAGTGCGCGATCGGCGCGCGGCGTGGCCTCGGGGAGTTAGTGAAATGCCTCGCTGATGGTCTCGACGCACCAGCGCCGCTTAACCGCGGCCTCGGTTGCTGCAGCGCGCTTGTCCGCGCTGCCCAGGCGAACAATCTGAACCTCCTGCGGCAGGGGCTCGATCGATTCGAACGACCCCACTTGCCTCTTCGGCGCGGGCTCGAAGCGCTTGTCCAGCGGGAACCAGAACTCTCGCAGCGCCAGGAGGCCTCGGGGGAATCGCGCCAAGCGCCTGCTCGACGAGCTCGCCGCGCGCGCCGTCGCTCAGCTCGGCGACGGCCTCCCCCGAGCTTGAGGTCCTTCTCCCTGGCCTTCGCGGAGATCTGGGCCTGGACAGAGGGCAGGGGCTTGAAGGCGTCGAAGAGGATCTCGAATTTCTAGACGCGCGCCGCCCAGAAGACGGCACTCACCATCTCGGGGCGGCGAAATCCTCCCCGTGGAAGATGCCCGTGTACTCGTTGGCCTGGGTCGACCCGCTGCCGTAGACTATGTCGAAGACTGCGTTCTGGGCGCTGCTCGGCCAGACGGCGTTCACGCCCCCTTGAGGAACGCGCCCGCCATCCTCGAAACGTCGGTGGCGTCGCCGCTCGCGTTGCACTGGTGCGCCTCGGCGCAGGAGGCTTTCGCAACGAGGTCGCGCAACGGGCGGATGATCTGCTCGGTCTGCTTGGTCAGCCTGGCGATGAACTCGCAAAACCCGAAATTCTAGGCCTCGGAAAGAGCCAGCCCGGCGCCATGGTGACTGTAAGACGCCATGGTCGTGGCGGTTCGGGAGCGGCGGTGATCGGAAAGAGCTGGAGCCTCGAACGGCTGCGGGGAAGGAGGAGGGGGGGGAGGAACAGATCGAAGAGCTGCAACGGAGGAACTGGGGGGGGGGAGCAGGAGGAGGAACGCGAGGGCATCATTTCGAAAAAACACCGCCTTCCATCGTTGCATTTGTTAGGGATGCATAAGAGAAGTGTACGCGGCGCTGGGGCGAGAGCCACACATTGAAAAAGAACCGCCGCCGTCCATCCTTCTAGCAAATGGGAATGTTTACGACCAGCGTGCGCGGCGCAAAACGAGACCCACACTCTAAAAACGACAGCTGGTTCGCATATGTAACTAAAAGACGAAATAGATAATACGACCCGGGCCCGAACAACAGGAATGAATACTCACATAGAAACAACGAACAACCGTCATCATGATGATAAAATAATAGCGCTGCTGCTCACAGCAGAAAATACAACTACGATTGATACTCGTCTGACGTTCAATAGAGTTCGGTCCCCAAAGTGTTTCGGCCGGGGATAATCAATACCGGGGAGTAAAGGGGGGAACCTATATATATATATATATATATATATATATATATATGTGTGTGTGCATACATACATATGAATATATGAATATATATTCATATATACATACATACATACATACATACATACATACATACATACATAAACACATACATACATACATACATACATACATACATACATACATACATACATACATACATACATACATACATACATACATACATACATACATACATACATATATAATATCCTCGGCACGGGGTTCTGGATACTATCGGGCCCCGCGTTGGTTCCACAGGCAGCTGCGGATACGCACAAACTGTGGCCTCGGAGGAAAACACTTCGGAACAACCCGGGAGGAGGAGGAGCGAGTTCTGTCGGGGATATCAAGGCGAATCCAGCCGTTGTGACCATGGCCTCCCAGGATACCCAAAAACAGCGAAAACGAGCCTCTGAGATGACTCGAGGGAGGAGGACCGAGCAGCACCATCTAGCGCGAGCAGCTAAGACAGCTCGCAGCAGCAATCAATCCTCCCACGGACCAGGGCCGTCTACTGCAGCACCTGCGCTCGCCGCCGGAGCTGGGGCCCGATAAAGAAAGGCAGAAGGAAACGAGTAGGAAGCCGAGACCTCCTTGAGGAGGAGCACGAAACCATGATCCGACCAACAACGGACCTGGACAAATCGGAGATCTCTCAAACCCGACGGCGCTGGAAGATGTATCGGGCGCCGCGGCTGTTCCAGACGCTCTGAGAGCGTTCCGCCACGCTCTGGAGCGATTCGTCTCCGTCCTGGCCCCATCTGGTTCGCCCGCTCGGGGTTTCCGGGAGGCCTCTCATCGCCACAGCTGGAACCGCCTCAGGATCCTGGCCAAAACGCACTCCAGGACGGGTCCGAGGGTCGACCCTTGAGGGGGACAAAATGCCGGCCCGTACCCCTTCGCGTCGTTGAACCATTTCTGACCGGGGGAGGTCCACACCGGGCCCTGGAACCGTCAAGCATCAGGCCAGGATGAAACATCTGCCCCGGGGAAGGAAGGCGTGAGTGGTTTAGCGAGTTTCCTATTCCAACCCCCATATTCCCCTTCGGGGAGAGGTTTATCATTGCTCCGTATTCATATGCACCCCCTCCACCACCCGACTGTGGGCCAACCCGAGACGTGCCCCCCCCCCCCCCACACCATCCCAGTCAAAACACAATACATAATGCACTTTGCCTCTAAATCTGGAGCATGTGCGGGCGCCCCGCGACCACTGTGCACGGGCTGCTAATAAGGACGGCGGGGGCGTCGTCAGATTGCTCCCTGCACGCAGGCAAAACATCCCTGAACTGAAACAAGCATAACAATCTGCTTTGTCTACACATCTGGAGCATGCGCGGGCGCCCCGCGACAACTTTGCAGGGGGTGCCGTTATATTGCTCGCTGCGCGCAGCCAGCCATCCCTGACACAATAAAACACTTCGCCTCCACATCTGGAGCGTGCGCGGGCGAGCCGCGACCACTTTGCATAGGTTTTTGACCAGGACGGCGGGGGTGCCGTTATATCGCTCGCTGCGCGAAAGCCAACCATCCCTATCAAAAAACAAGAAGGAACGCACTGTGCCTCCACATCTGCAGCATGCGCGCACGCTCCGCGACCACTTCGCATTGGTTTTTGATAAGGACAACGGGGGTGCTGGCATTGTGTAAACTTGGAGCACGTGCCGCACCTGGCGCGCCTGGCTCGCTTGAGCCTCCAGGATGCCTGGTGCACCTGGAACGCGTGGCGCACATGGCATGCGTGGCGCTCCCAAGCAATATTTTATGTGTCGGGAGGGAGAGTGGGGGTGAGCGAGACGGCTTGCGGGAGAAGAGGGGATCTCGATCCCACCCCTTCCCCCTCCCCCCATGGACCTGGACGGGGGGGCGGCGGGTCCTTGGAGCGTCCTAGATGGCCCTGGCGAGAAGGCCAACATCACTGATTTTACTAAGGTGTTGGGCTCATGTTGGCCTCCTGGGGGCGGGGCGCTAATTTTACACCGCCCCTTCTCTAATCGAACTCCTCAAAAACATGTCCCCGAGACTCCTGAAAGTGCCCCAATAAGGACCCAGGAGGTCCCTCAAATGCCCCCAAGATGCCTCCCACGAAACTCCCAACAGACACACGAAAGGCCCCGAGGCTCATCCGAAACACCCAAGACGCTTCAACAGGCCCCCAGACCGCGAAGAGGCCACCAAAACACCACAACAAGCCTAACTACAAAAAGCTCTCGGGAGGCATCCGAAGGGACCTCGAGGAACATCCCCGGGGCCTCCCGCCTTCCTGTTCTCTCTTCCCCTCCTCCTCCTCCTCCTCCTCCTCCTCCTCCTCCTCCTCTTCTTCCTGCTCCTCCTCCTCCTCCTCATCCTTCTCCTCCTCCATTCCTCCTCCTTATACATGATTTTTCCCTGTCGCACCCCGGGGCCACGTTTTAGGGCGGGCCGGGCGTTTCGCCTGAGACTTCCTCACCACGTATGACTCTGAGCGTGAAAGTTGACAACCACTTCACAGATGGAAGGCGGGTGGTTTTCAACATGTGGATCTCTCCTTAGCGCCGTGCACAGTCGTTTGAAACATCTACAACCTTTCACGGATTGCAAATAACCCGTTTTCAAAATGTGACTGTCGCCTTCGCACCGCGCACTTTCGTTCTAAACATTTGCAAGAGCTTCACGATTGAGGATAATCCGTATCCAAAATGTGGCTCTCGACTTAGCGCCGCGCAATTTCGTTCTAAAAATTGCAAGAGCTTTGCGAATTGAGGGCGGTTCCTTTTCAACATGTGGCTCCCGTTAGCGCTGCGCACATCCGTTCATACAATTTGCAAGAATTTCACGGGCTCCCACGGTCAACGTGCCAACAATAATGGTTTGGACGGATTCAGGATTTTGCGAGTGCAGCAGTTACGTACGTTGAATCGCGGCGTTGAAACTCCCAAGAATGGCGATCTGGCACGATCCAGGATCGTCAAAACGCAACAGTCAGGTTGACCCGTGGCGTTTGAATCCCGAGAACAATGTTTTGGCATGCTTCCAGGTCTTCAAAAGTTTGTCTCCCAACGAGGCAGATCCCTCAATGGAAATGACCCATTGTAGGTGCCTGTGAAAAGGGAGTTTGGAGGGAGGGTGGATTCCAACATCGTTGATAGCCCTTGGGTTTACTCTGGTCCTCCTCCTCCTCCTTCTCCTCTTCCCCCTCCTCCTCCTCCTCCTCCCTCTCCATCCTCCCCCTCATCCTCCTCCTCGTCTCCTTTCCCTTCCCCCTCCTCCTCTGCTCCACCTCCTCCTCCTCCTTTTCGTTCTCCTCCTCCTGCGCCTCCTCCTCCTCATTCTCCTCCTACTCTCCTCCTCCTCCTCCTCCTCCCCTTCCTCCTCCTGCTCCTCCTCCCCTTCCTCCTCCTTCTCCTCCTCCTCCTCCTCCGCCTCCTCCTCTTCTTCCTTCTCCCCCTCCTCCCCTCCTCATCCTCCTTCTCCTCCTCCTCATCATCATCCCCCTCCTCCTGGTCCTCCTCCTACTCCTCCTCATCCTCCTCGACTCAGCCTGAACGCGAACAAGGTTGTCCGCGCCACCTGCCACCGCGGGGGGCCTGGCCTCCACCTGAGGAGACCAGACCCCCCGACCGCGAAGACGAAGCAGTCCTCGCCGCCCGCTCAGGCGGGCATCGCGGAGTGGAGCGCCGCGAAGCACTCCACGTGCGGGGAGGGGGGGAAGGGGCAGGCGGCGGCCCCCCTGCACGGGGCGCCGCACTATCGCCGACCCTTCCGCTGCCTCCCCCCCCCGCTGCGGTGCCGGGCGCGTCCACCGCCTCGGCGAGCCAGGCTCGGAGGCGCGGCAGCGGCCACGTGGCGAAGTGCGGCAGGAAGTCGGCCACACGAGCGCCAGGCGTGCGGACCCACGCTGAGATCAGCGCGGCCCGCACCTGAGGCCCGTCGTCGTCCTCCACGGCCACCGCGCCAGCGGCAGCAGCAGCAGCAGCTGCGGCGGGAGCCTCCTCCGCGGGCAGCACGGCGCCCCCCCCCCCCCCTCGCCGCCGAGCGGTGCTCCAGGCGACTCACGAGTAGGGGGCGCCACGCCCAGCACCACAGACAGCGGCGGCGCCAGGGGCCGCGGCGGGCGCGCCTGCCAAGGGCGCAGGGCGGACGGCCCCGTCCGCCCAGCTGTCGTCCCCGAGGCAGTCGCCGTCGCCGCCCTCTGCACCGCCCGCCTCCTCGGCGGTGTTGGAGGTCACCATGGGCACATCCTGCGCTCCGCGAGCTCGTCGACGCCGAGCACGACGGCGCTTCCGCCGTGGCCGATGGCCATCAGGCGGGGCGCCAGCCGCGGGAGCGCGAGGTGGCTCTGCAGGCCCTCCACCTCCACCGTTTCCTCCACCACCAGCGGCCGCGGGGCGGGCTGCTCGAAGCTCGGCTTCAAGCATCGCCGCCGCGGCACGGACAAGGCCCTCGGCGGAACGTAGCAGCCGAGCGGCTCCCGCACCCCGCGCCAGGCCAGCAGCGCCGTGCACCGCCAGCGCAGCCCCGCGGGCTGCGGCCAGCGCCGCGCGGCGATCCGTCGCCGCCGCCATCGGAGGCTCGCGGCGGGCCAGGCGGCCCTGCAGCGGCGAGTTCGACGTGGCACGGCTTGAGCCAAAATGGCTACGGAACTCCTCCTAATCCTCCTCCTCCTCCCCCTCCTCCTCCTCCTCCTCCTCCTCCTCCTTTCCCTCCTCCTCCTCCTCCTCCTCCTCCTCCTCCTCCTCCTCATCCTCCTCCTCCTCCTCCTCCTCTTCGTATTGTTAGTGTTACTGCAATGTGTCTTCTTAGTTCTATTATTGCTTATACTGTTACTGGCCATCTTCATCTGGCCATCAGAACTATTCGTACCAAAATAATGAATAGTTTCCTTAGTGTGGGTCTTACTGTCCGCCTTGCTCGTAGTATTCACATGCTTAGTCGTACGCATATTATTGTTAGTGTGTCCGTTCGCATTATTACTGTTGTTATTATTCTTATCAATATTAATCATATCATTGTTGTTAAAATTACTCCTCCTCATCCTCGCGCTCATCCTCCCATTACATTCCCTCCTCTTCCTCTTCCTCCTCCTCTTCCTCCTCCTCTTTCTCCACCTCCTCCTCGTCTTCCTCCTCCTCCTCCCCATTCTCTTCCTCCTCCTTTTCCTCCTCCCTCCTCCTCCTCCTCCTCTCCTCCTCCTCCTCCTCTCCTCCTCCTCCTCCTCCCTCCTCCCCTCCTCCTCCTCCTCCTCCTCCTCCCTCCTCCTCTCTCCTCCTCCTCCTCCTCTTCCTCCTCCTCCTCCTCCTCCTCCTGATTCCTCTCCTATCCTCCCCGTCTGGGGAAACAACGGCTTCCAAACCGTTAATTCAGCGCGTGTTCCCCCACATGCCTGATCAGGGCAAATCGCTCGGACATTGTTTCTGGATGGGCTGGTGGGTCTACTTTTTGGTTTGCGGGCTCGCGAAGCAAGTCGAAAGCCGTCCGATCACTAGCCGGGCCGCGACTAGGCAGCAAGAAAAGAGAGGGACAAGCGCTGGTGGGTCTACGCAA